CACAGCATCAAGCTGTTTTTTTAATAAAATGAGTCCTGGGTCCTGGCCTTAATTTCCCTTCCTGCCAGTAACCTGTTACAATCATTACTTGTAACGCTCCAGGACACTACCCCGCGTGAAGGGCCCTATATAAATATAAACTGCTGCTGTTGTATTACCTACCTTCTGAGTAAAACGTCCTGTGATCTGACTTGAAATTTCCCTTTGCAACTCTGAAGCTATGTACTGTTTTCTATGGACTGCTATCCAATGGTCCCTTGCTAAAGGTACACGTGTGCAGTTACTGAAAGATGCAATTGTCTAGAGATTCTGATACCTCTCTTTATGCCACATTTAAATAACCTGTTAATAATAACCATCTAGGCTCACACAATGAATAACACCATTTTGACAAGATACTGGAAGGTAACAAACATCTGTGGACTCATATGCCCACAGGAAAACTAGAGCTCATATCATTTTCAGAAGAGGATAGACAATAACAAGAAAAGGCAATGCATAAGAATATCATAATAGTATATTTTGAACATTGAATGCAATTGGACAATTAGGCAAGAGACGATAGTCTTTTCCAGTTCTGTATGTTCTTTGGCTTCTAAATAATGTTGACTGATCATTTCTACAAATGATCTTTCATCAAGGTATCAGCATTTACTGTGCTGTGACTATTTCTATGAAAGTTTACAATTGTAGTCTTTTCACTTCTCAACAATTGTACAAAAGCAATGTCCAATTTTTTTCCATCATATTTAGGATACATTCACTGCCCAGTCGCTCATCCATTTGGTTGTACCAAACAAAAGCATTCCAAAATAAATCACTGTGATTAAATGTGCCTTTACAGCCCAACTCAACTACAGTGCTATCTTCACAAGCTCAGTTTGCAATACAGTGGATTACTGTTCTGCTGCCATAGAACTTTCCACTCTCGGAAACACTGGCCTGCAGAGAGAGAGAGTACAACAAAGAGCTCAAGTGTCATTTGTTTAATGCTCTTGTTCACATTCATTCTATGCAGCACAATTACTGATAGTCATGGAATCTAACCAAACCCTTACATGTCTTCAGGCTGCCCACATCAGTCCATGGGGTTTACTGCTGTGTAGTGTTTTAAAATTCACAATTTCTCATTCTAATTATAAAACAAAAAGGTTACCTGTACAAAGATAAACACCTGCCTTTTTGGGAAGAGGAAAACTGACATCAACATCCAGTTTTCTTGTCCATTGAAATCACACAATCGTGGACAGAGAGGTCACGTGATAATGCAGTGTGTAAGATATATTCTGCCATCGGGGTTTCAGTCTGTTTCCCTGAACTCAAATGCATTCAACCCAGGTGACGCATTTGGACACGCATAGAAAGATGGGATTCAATTTCATACCAGTGATTCCCCACATTGATAAAATTCTGGCTTCAGTTGCGGCAAATGCAAAGCGTCAAGCAAGGTGCTTCCTGATGGACAGGGAGAAAGAAAGCTCAGCCATTTCCACTGTAATTCAAATCAACGCTCTTCCAAGTAGCAGGTCTCATGTTGTACAAGGAAGAAAGAGAAAATAGTTATGAGACCTACTTCCTAATAAATAACTAAATAAAAAAAATAAAAAGGTCAACCATGGGAAAAGAGCAGTGAAAGTCCAGGAACATTTCAGGCAATTTTATTCAGGATATTTTGCCCTTAACTGAGCTTATGGTATTGGCTTGAACATATATGGGTCTCCCTTGTTAACCTGTTCATTATTTTTTTGTACAAGTAACCAACTCATACGCAGTTGTCAGCAATGTGACCTTCCATCAAGTGCAGGAAGGAGTGTCCGCAACAAAGCCAACTACGCAAATCCAAACTGATTCACTGCAAACTATTTTAAGCTAATAAAGGTAAAACAGGAAAAACATTCTTCAAAGCTGAGAATGTCATGATGATTAAGAAAGCTCAGGAAATTTATAATAGTGAGGTTAAATCTTGACTGAATAAAAATTCTACGTACAGAAAAATTGTGTCTAATACCTTGAACTTAAAAAAAATCCTCCAGTGGCTATGCGGATAAATGTGTCACATGATGTACTTCATACATTGAAAAGGTCCTAATTTGAATGTCGATTTTGGAATGGCAATAGAAACATTATAATTGTCTTAATATGACTGGTATTAAGAAGAAGCAGAGGGAGAAAGGGCTGGGTATCTGTTCTCGTTGGTATCCAGTTTCCTTGCTGAAAATACATCTATGAAAAGCAAACCACAGAATTGAACTTGTGTGAAACCCCATGGCCAAATAGTTTGCCAACACAGTTGCTTAAGATCACACAAAGAATGGCAACGTAAGCAAAACACAGGGGATCAGCACCTTTGGAAAAGAAGATTAGAGAAGAAAAACAAAGATTTGTAATTCAAAAGCCCCATGACCCATAATAGCACCTTGCAAGTCTGGCTGTAAATAGTATTCTCATCTACCTCTGGACTCTGGGACGCTGCCCTGCATGAGGAGTGCTACATAAATGTAAGTTGTTGTTGTTGTTCTAGTTATTTAAGTTTGGCTGGCTCACTCAGACCTACCTCTTTAACTATACCTAGTCACCTCTCTCCCTCCTTGCTCGGCGACAAACCCCACTACTGTACAGTGCTCAGATGCTATTCTGGCTGGATGGATCTATAAAAATGCAAGCTGTTGTCAACGTTCTAGTCATTTGAGTCTGGATGGCACACTCACCAGTTCCAATAAATGTCTATGCTGCATAAATTTGTGAAATTCTTCATATTATTCATAACACATGAACTATTGAGATATTTGGCATAATATATAAAACCGTGTGGAACCACTCAATTGAAACAAAGCAAGAAGGTTAAAAGCCATAAAATATAACTGCAAAGAAGAAATATTCTGAATATTCACATCCAAGGGATAAATCACTCAAGTATTTTTTAAGGGAATGTTATTTGAACGTATTCCCAGGCGTAAATATTACTCACATTGGAAAAAATCTAGGGATTAACCTGAGCAGTTTATTCAAGCACTGAAATGATTTGAGTTTTATACCGAGATCAATTCTAAATTTAATCACTCCGCCTCGCCCCTTCCTTAGCCTCCTCCAAGTCCTGCCTCAAGACCATCCTCTTCGACCATGCCATCGGCCATCCCCCTTTCCCTCCCCTCCCTTCTCCCCCCCTGACCCCATCTCGGATCTGAAGTGCTGCACACTATCCAGGCGCTATACAAATGTAATCTTGTTGTTGTTGTAATGCATACAATCTCACGCACATCGATGCCATGACCCGCTCTGCCTTCCCCCATTTCCACAACATTGCCCGAATCCGCCACCACCTCACCAAAACCCTCATACGTGCCTTCATTATAACCAGGCTCGACTATGCCAATGCCCTGCTTGTCGGCCTTCCAAACTCTTCCTCGACAAGCTGCAGATCATCCAGAACTCTGCAGCTCATGTCTTCTCCAGCATCAGGCTTCGTGACCCCATCACAATTACCCTTGCCAAGCTCCTCAGAGGATCGAGTTCAAAATTTTCATCCTCACCTTCAAGGCACTCCATGGCCTTGCCCCCTCCTTCCTCAAAGACCTGCTAAGCCCTTATCAACCTGTCCACTCCCTCCACTCTGCAGGTTCCGGCCTGTTCCTTGTCCCCCACCCGGCCCACCTCACCATCGGCGGTCAGGCCTTCAGCCTCTTTGTCCTCACCCTCTGAAACTCCATCCCACATTCCCTTCAACTTGCCTCCCACAAGGCACGCCTCAAGACGCATCTCTTCGACCGTGTCTTTGGCCACTCTCCTTCCCTCTCTGCCCTTCATCCCTCCTGGTTCCCCCCCACTCGAGTCCTAATCCCTGACTGTTAAGCGCCTTGGGACGTCCTCCTGACGTGAAAGGCACTTTACAAATGTAGTTCTGTATTGTATTTATACTTCAAAATGAACATACAAACACACAAAATAATGAAGCTAGATTAATTACGTCTCTGAACATGTGATTTAAAATTTTTCTGAAAGAGATTAGTTAAAGGCATGCAATCTGGAACTGAACCCATTTTAATTTTACAATCGCTTCAAAGTATTAAGTATCTCAAAAGCACAGCTTCATTCTCCAAAGGTTTTAAACAGAAAATGTTCTCTTTAATGAAAAGTACATACAAGGCATTTAGAAATAAATAAAAATCAAGCCTGCAGAATACTTCTGCACTTGATCAAAATCACTGCGCTCATGGTTCTACAGCATATGGCAAGTACATTAGCTGTAGAATATTCGGTACATTTCCAGACACTAGATTTTATCAAAGGAATAACTTCTTCCTTTTCTACATAATAAACAAGTGAATAGAATGAAAAAATGCAGTGCTCCACTGACAAAAATTAAACAGCACAAATTAAAGTGCAGGTTTTAAAACAAGATGTTTGTTAGCTTGCTTCAATCTCCTATATGCCCAACATAAAGAAATATACCTGTTTAACAAAGTTAAACCGACTAGTTTTGACCTCAAACATACCTAGATTTTTAAGTAGATATTTTCCCCCAACGTTTAAAATAATTTTACGTAATTTCATTGGAATAACCTTCAGAAGAGCCAGAGGTATGTCCTCCAAATTCCTTGCCTACTTGGGTGGCTGGGGATGGGTGAAAAACAAAGTGCCTCCCCAGATGGCCTGATAGAGATCAATAACTCAAATCAGGAATACCTCCTGTGAACTGGAACAACCCAATAAAACCACCTGAAAATTAAAACTGCAACATGAAAATAAAACAAAGGGAGATTTCAGATTCCATTGCATATATAATACCTATAGGATGGTGAAGAGTTTGCAGCAGAATTTCTGCAAAAATTATGCCTTAATTAACCACCTTGGGAACATGACTGATATTTGAAACAAAAATTAATGTAGGATTTAAGATCTCGTTTCTGAAAGTTCAAATAAGCAAAAGTAACTAAATGGCAATTGAAGGAGTCCAGCACACACTTTAATGGCATTAAATAAAAGCAGATTCTGCTCTTTACCTGTACATTAACATCTTCTTTCTTGAAAATTAGGGATCGGACTTCATCTGGATCTCCATTAAAAATAGCTTGAACCAGTGGTGGCTGTAACATACAAAGAAAGCTAAAGTCAACATTAAACATGTAAAGGAAACCCTCACCATCCGGCTCTGACATCACTAATTGATATCTGTGTTACATACAGCAAACACGACTGTAATTGTACATAAGGATTCTACATACATAAATCCAGATTTGTAAGACTGCAATTATACACACAGCATTCAAACCAAATATCTAAACTTCATTGCGAAATTTGATACAATATAGTGTCAATTTCTTTAGCCTGAGGAGAGATCACTAGAAAAATCAGAGTTTTCAATACTGCATTCATTCACAAAACTGAATACAACCATCTTTCCAGTTTATGTAATTTGACTACTAAACCTTGAAGATTAAAATCCTGGGGCCTCAATTTTTCCTCTCTGCAAATTTTTTTCTGCCCTTCCATAAACAGATCAAGAAAACAATCCATATTTGGATGCACACAGTTGACTAGTCAAATGGATAGAGCAAATATGTCAATACTTTTAGACAAGCTGAAATATGCTCACCCTTCCATCCTCAGGCGAACGGGACTTTGACATGGGTTGAGAAAAATGCTCATACTTTTCCCAAGATTTTTTAGAAGTAAAAGTGGGAGAGTCATCATCCACCTCCTCCAGAACAACAATACACACTCGACTCATCCGATCCCGTTAACACACAAATGTTATAATCTTCTTTATTCACAGGGACCGTACCTGCACTGCCGTCACAGATCCTATTGCGTTACTAAGAGCAGTTTCCTAGGTTGGAGAGTATACACTGCTCTTATCCATAATCCGCATGCAGAAATGGCTTATAGTCCACTATAAACACGTTTAGCTCCGGTGCTAACACATGTGCTGATTATGTTGAACTGATTTCTTATTTGAGAGTAACCCCAATGCAGCACTGCTGTTGTTATGGGTGACACAACACCATTCTTTAAATAGTAAAGCAAATCATGTGGTTTAGACCGTCAGTGAATTAAGAAGGCACAGAAGCCCAGCAGCTTTCTGTAACAGACACTGAAGAATGTTTTCCCTCTGTACAGTCGGTTCTCATCATGCCAGACCAAAGCTGTATCCAGAAGCGACTGCAAACCAATCTCTTGTGAAAGGATTCACTTAATGAACTCCTGTGGTACGATTGAACATAGGCCACATGGGAGAAATAATCCTTGCTGCAATAAGGTGGAAAACACAAGCGTGACCCAGAAACAGATGAGGACACTTACTCAGTCAGCGATGGTGCCTGTGCTGAGCAGTCACTTTTCTCCGGCAGTTACACTGCAGGATCTCCAATGTGAAACGCAATGAGCTGAAAAGATGCTGCCTGGTGTGTTTGTATAGCACTGAATAAGCAACAAGGACAATGCAGAAATGTTCTGAATGTACACTTTGTTGAGCAAGCAGCACATAAACAGTTTCGTTTTGTCACAATTTACAGGAAAGCAGCATTCATTTTCAACATGGTAATTGCAGAGGAGAGGAAAAACAGCTCTGACTATGGTATTTTCCTCATGTACTTCACGTCAAGCTTCTGTCAGGCTGCCAGTTCAACGGCTGTGCTTCATTATCCATTAATTGCAAGTTCCAGCTTTATGCAATGCATTTACTTCAAAAATCTTTGCTTTTTTCCCAAAGCCCACAACAGGAATTGGTTGATACAGTAAAAAACATCAAGCACGCATGAATGGCACAAACAAAACGGCAGATCTGTAGGTTGAAACGCATTTCAACATTGCCGTACAAATCCCAGATGGAGCAGTAGCAGAATTCTGGTAGCTGCCTCTCTTTCGCAGTGCTCTCTGGCCTCCTTTTCCACTTCAACTGTGTATGCCAGAGCTGTGAATAATCACCAATCTGACCAGTAAGACAGCTTCATAGCAGATAGCTGCAATTTAACAAATTTCCGTTGGAAGACGCACAGAAATGTGGCTCACTAACTGGCTGACTAACCCTGCTGTAGTGAGAACCTAACAATAAAAGCAATTTACATTTATTTCCAGGATAAAAATAACTAGTTATAGTGTTCATTCTTCCTTATGGTCCCCAGAAGTGCAATCATACCAAAACAGAACCCGACTGCAATAGCCAGGTTATTTCAAACAGTTAATATTGCTCACAGAAATACCAGAACAAAGCTCCAATGATTCTGTAAAAGAGCAACGTCTGAAGCTACAAATGGATCAGAAATGCTTTACAGTATTTCCTGCAGCCACAAAAAAGGACTAAATACAGACAACTAAACTTACAAGCAATTTTTAAACACAGTAAAATTTCATCCTGCATATTCATACTTGTTTTTAATGTGATCCATGGAAGGAAAAACAAAACATTTTTTAAAAAATGGATTTATCATAAAGATTTCTAACTTTTTGAAATAGCAGCTAGCATCAGAAGTGCTGGTAAAAAAGTGCAATGAAATGTCATCTTGTTTCTTTTTTTTTAAAAATCACAAATTACCTACCTAAAAAGATCTAAAATGCCTCTTTACCAGTCTTCAGATCGCACCGGAAGATCTTCCTCTTTGACCGTACCAAAGTCACCTCCACTCTCTCACTGACTCAGTATCAGGCTCCGCCACTGTTAAATGGTCCAAAATGCTACCCCATGTAAAGTGCACTACATAAATGAAAGTTATTGTTGTTGATGGTTATATACTCTAAATGATTCAGCTTCAGAAAGAAAATCATCTATATTCATCTGAAATTCAGACTTGCTACTCTTACTGCACAAATTTGATAACTTCAAATTGGTATCCAGGTCAATAAGTGCTTTGTGTCTCTATCTAATAGAAACTGGGTTCAGGTTATCCAAACTCATTATTTAGAGGATTCATAGCAAAAATCTCATCAATGTGAGATGAGTTGAAAAGGATAGTGTGATAACCCACTGGAATCAAGTTGAGAAAGTAATGCAATTAAACCAGGGGGTCAACAGTGTTAGAGGAAGGAGGAAAGATAACGAACAACACAAACCAAAACAAGAGGTTATAATTTGTGATTTGCATTTCCTGTTTCAGCAGACTTGACGAAGATATGAGACAGCAGTTTTGAATTCTAACTCCAGATGATAGCCCTGGAGCTCATTATAAAGAACGTTTAAATTTGCAACAGAACTTGAAATAATAAGCCATTCAAAGACACCAGCACCCATTCCAAATAGTTCAAATTGCCACCTACTGCTTAACACACTCACTTCTGGGAAATATTCTCAGTCTTTTTAAAGTGACTGTAAATTGTGATGGTAAATTGTGATGCCCCAAATCAATTCCGTACATTGAGCAGCTCAGAGAAAGAAAGCCACCATTCTCTCTTCATTTCAAATATCTTAAAACATGTACCACCCATTTCTAGAATCGTGACTCATTCTTAATAAAGTTAGACAGAGAATGAGTCACAGAAGGAATCAACCAGTCACTGGAATGTATACATTTGTTCTAACCCAAAGGAAAATTGAAACGATCTCCATGACAACTTATTTATAACCATTATTCTGGCACCACTGAAGCAGGATCGCCCAGATATTTTTTTAAGAAAGTCAGCCGGATGTGACATACACAGATTCCCATCACCTTCCTTAAGATATCCAAACCAAACAGAGTTCTATGCATCTCACCTATACATGGCAATTCCCGACATATGTATTGGAATCTCTCTCCCTGGAGACATGTATCCTGCTTACTTAATTCTGAAAGTATTAGGCACAAGTTGACAAGAGCTGAGGCTTGGGGAGCCCATGGTTTGCATTGGGGTATTGCTGGAGACCAACCAGCCAAAACTGCATAGCTTGTCATTGAGACCACTGTCTGGCAAGCTTTCCTGCTGCTTGTCCAGCTCGGACCATCTTGGATGTTACTGTTCAGCTAATGATGCAATTCACATAAACAATAGCTGCAACATTTTACAGAAACTGCCAACTTTCTTATCTCATTGAATTCTCTAACAAGTGAGACACTGACATCTGTAGTATATAAAAGGACTTAAAGATTCACTGAGAAAGCACAGCTGATAACCTCAACCACGGAAAGGTAAGAATATTTTAAATCTTGGAAATTGTGAGATAGAAGCATTTGCAGGACTAATATAATGCTGATTTTTAAACAGACAAAAAATGTCAATTAAATTCTGCTTTTGGGAAATCAGTGGCAACTATATTTCACATGGATTAACAAGCAAAGCTGGTAATGTGGTGCTGGTTTCACAATGGTTAAGCTACCACTGCAGATTACAGCAAGTTGCAGTTTTCTTCAGAAGTCATTTGTGCAATAAATAGCCACGTCAGTCACTTCTTGCACAGAGTAGACTGCTAGATCATATTTTAGAAGTACCTCAGAAGTACTTGTTGAGAAGTCGCTTTCATATCTACAACCAATTACACAATGAAAATGAACAGTAAATATGTCAAACAATTTGAAATAGTCAACTGGCAGGCACAAGTAACAGTGTTGTTCAATGGAGTAGTGTGACAGACTAAAACACAGAACCCTGCTTAGATTTTGGCCAGGCGGGGCAAGAGCTAAACACAGCTTGGTGTTTTACTATGTGGGGAAAAAGGTCTATTTTGAGAAGACGTGCCATGATGCAATCACACACAATCTAGTTTTACAACTCTATTTGTAGAGGGATGTGTTCACCCATGAGAGATGAGAGAGTGAGTGTTATGGGGGGCAGGGGGCGGGGGGGGGGGGGGGGGGGGAAGAAACAAGGAGACAATGAAGAAAAATTATTGGATTTTATAAATTCAGAATATATTGAAAAAAGGCCTCTAACAATATATACAGTAAAACAAGGCAAGGTTATCAACCCAGCTGCTTGCTTCGCGCAGCCAGGCACTGGCTGCTTCATGCCATATCCGTTCCATCATTGACGGTTGGGCTTTCAGTTCCACTCGGTTAGAGCAAGAGACCTGGGTTCAAATCCCAGCAGGATGAAAGCTTGGGCAAATTTCCTTACTCTACACGCCTGATAATTCCTCAAAAAATTGGTCACTTTTAATAGTTTGTAGGAAACTGCT